AGCATATTAGCCATTATTTATGTCGGATCAAATGCAGAGGTCTACCACCAACAATCTGGTACCATCCGGTGTTGCTTCTTCATTGCTAAAGAAAACCGATGCTTCCCTTTTTTTAACTTGTGCCCAATTTGGTATGACGCGTAATCTGATTATTAAATATTGAACCTCCTCAATCTTAGTTGCCTGCTGATTCTCTTCGGAGCATATATTACCATTACACGAAATGAAGTGGTTGCCCAAACGTTGAAAATTTCATTCTTTGGAAGGTCAAGCGAATAGTAATGAATCCCAGTATAGTGTTGTGTGAAGTTGAGATTGATTATACTGTAAATACAGATCATATTTACCAACAAGTGAGTGTCACTAGTGATGTAGACGGACATATTTTAAACTGGAGTTGTGTGTTAGCTTGTGCAATGGAAACACGCTGTTGCTCATGACGCAAAGTGACAAATGAATGTTTAGATTACGAACATTCACAAAACGTCGGATTATACTAATTGACCTGCACGAAGAACAGAAATTCACTTTACTTTTGAAGTCGCTGTGACGATTGTTTCATATATTGTTGTCATTGTTTAGTATAAAATAAGGTATACTGTTTTAGTAAAGATGTTTAGTTTCCTATGTGGAACTATCAGAATTTCCAAAAAACACAGTTATGTCATCGTCTTCCATCCTCAAAGTGATGAACAAGGAGTAGTCTTTTCAACACAACAGCTTGTCCAGACTTTGCCAGAGTTAGTGAAAAAGATGACAGAGCATACAACGATGTGAATATTAAAATATGTAGAGACACCAACAGATTGCACTACAGATTATAATTTAAACAATATACCGCAACGATGAGAATTTCACGTTACCTGACATGACAAGAAAGCATGGTTTATGAGCTCTACAACAAACCAGTAAATAAGACAGACTGTTGTTCTAACAATTGGCTTGCATCGAAGATTGCTTAACTTCATTAGGTTAGAAGCTATGAGTGAAGAGTTTACACGAATGTTCCTTGTGCTTTGTTTGATATATCGTGAACTGTACAGCCAGCGAAAACATATAAAAAAGAAATAATTCCATTCAAGCGATGGATAGAAGAGCATAAGAGAATAGGTGAATTATTCGAAGCAGTTATCATCAGATAACCATTTCAAGTTAGTGATACTACAATGAAAAGAATATACCCTAACGGGTGAGACACAATCTTATTAGCGACGGATACTTAACAATACGAAACAATTTACTTAATAAAGGAGTTAGAAGATTTCGCATTACAAAAAAAGAAATGCTGAAATAGTTATCCATTTTAAAAATTCAATGATAAGTCTGATATTGATATATATGATAAACAGATGATAGAATTTGGAGAAAAAAAATTACATCGGTAATGAATCTGATACAATTATAAAAACTATTGCAAGAACAGGCCAAAAGGGTAGCATTTTCAGAACAAATATTGAAGAAAAAAAAAACAGACAAGATAAAAAAAAATTATTAAAAGTGTCAAATGCTAAAATAATTATTTTTAAGGAAAATAATTGGAAATATACTGGATCAGATAGATCTACTGCAAAGACTATATCAATACTTGCTCTGTGTATATCAAATATGTTGCAAAGTTTAGCAGCTAAAAAACAAATGAAACTATTTTTGTGTCTAATGTCATGACGATAAGGTAGTTGGACTATTACGGCTCTATGATCTTAAGAATACAACTAAAAATTGATAATACATTTTCAGTATTGCAAATAATTCTAAATGTTATGTCGTAAGTCGAAAAGTATAGAATGGATTTTAAAAAAATTGAATGTCATGATGTACGCCAATGATATAATCTAGAACGAGTTTAAATGAGTTCTTGATGACTCGAAAACAAATCTTTAGTCTTAAAAGGTAATCATCACTTTTTAATTCAAATGAATATTTTAAATTAATAATTCCTCTCAAATTATATCTGAACAAAACTATGAACTTCGATCAAATATTTTCAAAGATTGATATTTTACAGGAATGAATAATAGTTTTACAATATCATTTATATACATGTTTCATTTGACCGAGGTAGCAACGCATTTCTTTGGTGAAACCCAAAAGTTCAAATTCAACCAAATCGTAAACCAGTTTGCTTCCAGACCCTTATAAAGTCATGAACAAGATTAGGCCCTAAAAAAACATTTTAGCATATATCTTAAAAATATGACAAATTTTAGCTACGCAATAACTCTTCTCTCTCTCTCTCTCTCTCTCTCTCTCTCTCTCTCTCTCTCTCACACACACACACACACACACACACACACACACACACACACACACACGGGCAGCAGCAATGACTGAAATATCTAGCAACTATAAGAATGCTGAAGATTGCTGGCCAAATTGCTTCTTTCTAGATGAACATGTTATTGTACTGGTTTTGGCAGTAGTGGGCTTGTTATTTACATTTTTGGTCAAAGTTCCAAATACAGAAAGATTTAAATCATTGCAAATTTGCAAGGATTAGTATGAATATAAGTATTTTTATATTTCGCGATGAAGATTGTTTTCACGTTTCTAAACTAGATATTGCCCACATTTTTTGATTGATGTTTGGTTTGACATAACATTCTAATAGAGAACAGTGCCAGAGTTCTTAACACATTGTTTTTAAATGTTAATATGACACCCTATGGTATAATATTTTTCCTAACTTGTTGTTAAAATAAATTATTTTAGACTGGTATCTAGTATCTTACCGAAGGCTTTGATGTGCATTTCCTGCACATATATTATGAAACTTAGCTCTGGTATTTTGAAGCAGTTTAATGTCTCCAACTTAGTGTTGGTGTTATGGGGTAATTATGCCAGATCATGTCCATATCTGTTATGTACCAGACATAATCAGAGAAAAGCGATATATTTATTATTGACATAAAGCAGCTACATTGGGGACCGTCAATAAAAAAGATTTTGTATCATATCTACAAAATGGTTGCAAAGAAGATGCAAACTAGTTTATAACTTTAAACGTTTGCTTTTATTGTTATGTTATATAGCAAGTTGTTAAATGCGTGTTACGTGTAACAACCTTCACAAGTTAAATTTGTTTGTGAGATTGTAATGACTTGTAGTTTTAGTAACATCACATTTTATGCAGCGTAAGATGATTCTAACAAACCTTTCCTGGTACCAGCAAAATGTGTTACGTATGCACGTGAAGTTGCGCATATATCATAAAGAAGAAGAGTTGGTTCTATAAAACATAATGTATAAGTTCAACAACACAACATAAATCATCATCGTACCAGACGACTTTCTGTTACTTGCATGCGTTACTGTCTCATGATGTTAATATTCACATCATTTCATTATTATAGTGTTTTATGAATTCTATTTCAAATCATTGAGTATTATATATATATATATATATATATATATATATATATATATATATATATATATATATATATATATATATATATATATATATATATATACTCATATTTTCATTCGATTAATAGGAAAAAGTCCATGGTAGCCAAGGTTTAGTTCAGAATTAGAAAAAATATATCTTGATGGGCTATTTAATTCAGATATACATGTTTCTTTAATAACTTGCAAACATCTATTCAGCATTGTAAAATACAAATAATTTTGTTCTTATGTTGAGTTGGACGCCACCTTTTAGGAAATGATAGGCCATACAATGCGGTCAGTATAAATGTTGAACCGGTAGGAATCACAGATCCATGGAAAGAATATGGTAACTTTTCTCACCTAACCGTGAACAAGATTGGCGGAAAGTAGCCTCGAACCCAAGAAGATGCAGGTGAGATTGCTCATATACAAACGTTTGCTTCGGGATTACTAAAATCAGTAGAATGGTAACATTGGCTTATATTTACCTCAGTAATTATTTGTGGTAGATAAATGTTCTCCAACCAGTTAATTCAATGCCAGCTTGATAACTCTTAAAATCAATGCACAGTGTGTCATTTTCAAGAAATATTTAACAGAAACAGACCTACAGAGCATAGTCACAACGTCCACCAAGAGAAATCGTTAGGTGTGAGGTGTTCATTGCTCTTATCCAGTTTCATATATCCAATATTTTAAAATAGGAATTAATGAATTGTAAGCGTAATTATGCACGAACATGATAGTTTCATCTCTATTTCTCTCTCAAACACACACACACACACACACATACAAACACACTGCATACCAAGTTAAGAATAATGTCGACGTTTGTATTTTTGTTGTTGCTTTGTATGTTTTTCTTTTTATTGTTGTGTTTGGCTTTTCTTGCTTTTGTGTCCTTCTAATATTTCTACATTTGGACATGCATGACGAAGACCATGGACACAATTTCTTCATTGAATAATAATGTAATGATTATCACAAGGCAGTATATGGACTGTGAAAATGTCAGGAACACAATTACAGGTACCTCGCTAATTTAATTTACATGGATGATACACAGATACTAACAATGCAAACAATGCAACTTATGACGCATATGGCCAGATTGTATTTAACCACAACGCTGATTGTTATCTAATTTTATCCAAAATATGTCGGTTTTAAATCCATAAATTACAGACGGCAAAGCGATTTTTGAAACTTGTTAACAAATCAGTTCCGAATTTCTTGAAAATTACAAAAACGCGAAATTACTGGTGTATTTTTAACTTAGAGAAGTATTGCATGGTATTTGTATACTTTTGAAATTTGGATAGACGTTTTGTAGTCTTTAAATCATAGAGTGCAGGGGATAATGTCAATAAATGTTCGCCAAAATATTTTCTAACAAAACTTTTAAGGATAAATCACGAACGGCTGCATATGCTCCTAAAAATATTTTAATATGTGATTTTCATAGCCAGCATGGTTGTAACAAAAGTCACCAAGACTAACCATTTAATAAGTTTAGATAATTTGGCAGTGTGTGGATTTTGTGATTAGAAGTAGCATAGAGTTCAAAACCCTTTAATATATTTTGTTCCTCTTTCCAGGCTATAAAAACCAATCTGGTGGCCTAGTGGTTAGAGCGTCCGGCTCGGATGCGGGTAGTCGCGGGTTCGATCCCCAGTCGATTCATACCAAAGACTTACAAAAATGGTACTAACAGCTACCTCGCTTGGCTCTCAGCATTAAGAGGTTAGTGTTAAGACTGGTCGGCCTGGTGTCAAGATAATGTGACTGGGTGGGACATCATGCTACATCTCTGCGGCATAAAGCCCCAGTGCTAGACGTCACTATAAACTACCACACTGGAGACATCGTAGCGATATGACTGAAAAATTGTTAAAGCGACGTTAAAAATCAGAATCACGTCACCATTCCATAATAATCTGCAAGAATCAAATTGATTTGTTTTATGTAAAGACAAATCTGTTCTGTTTTGTTATGTATGCTACTGATTTCATATTTTAAAATTGAACATAAAATTATAGCTGCAGTATATCAGCATTTTGTCTGATAATGGCATGCATTGCCACCAATAGTTCTGCAGCAGAACTATATGAAGTGTCAGCTTATATGAGGATTATGAAGCTGATAAGTTATTTCCTGTGCTTAGCCATAACACAATGGGGATGATTTTTTGCCATATTCAATTCGAAATTTAAGAAAGGCATATCAAAAGTTATTACAAGGTTATATTAAATTTATTTATCATCCTAGCTTAATTTTAAGTTTTCAAACTTGTACCTTTCTTTAGCAATGGGCACAAAAAGTAATTATTTCATTTATCAGAAAAAAAAACCTTTCCCAAAACTAAGAGATTACAATATTTTGTCTGAAGAAAACATGAACACATCAAAGCAGTCTTCAGAACCATTTTTAATGTTATGTCTGCTGTTAGGATGTGAATTTTTGCATATATTTGTAATTCATTTACACTTTTATTGCATTTAAGATACTGATACAATATTCAAGTATTTACGCATTTGATTTCAGATATAGACAAGAGTAAAAGTATTGATTTATGATTTGAATCAAGTTGACGCTCGTGTAGAGCATATAAATTTCAAGTATAAAACTGTTTTTTGTCTATAAAGTAATTATTTTCACTTAATAATGCTCCAAAAATCAATGCAAATACCTGGCTTATTGAGAAAATGACACTCAACATGTCCATTATAGTTGCAAAGAATATATTTATTCAGTAGCTTATTTTTAATCTATTAGAAGGAACATATTAATATTTGCGAGATATTTAGAACTGAATAATGTCTCTTCGTATAAAATATTATAAGGTTTTTATTCAATTTGGCAATTATTCATCTTAATATTACATATTCAACTATTCTACGGAGTTCTGATGGTAAAGTATTTGCCGATATTTTGTTCTGTTGGCTAAATCACAGAAGTATGTAAAGGAGTGTGAGGTGAAGATATAATAAGGGTATAAAATGCCATTTTGGGGGCAAACATACTGAATTAATTCAGATTGAAGTGAATTGTGTTTTTAATTCCATTTATGTTGAAAGATTAATCTTTGTTTGTGTGCTTTGAGATGAAAAGAACTAACTCAAAATATTTATATAATAATGTTTCAAAAAAGTTGGTCACAAAAGTAGGTATACAGTTTTATGTACACCATTATGTTCACCAAATTAGAGCAAATGAACTATTTTTCTGTTGCATCCTAATTTGTATATCTTTTCTTCTAAAACTAGTATTTAGCTCCCCTTGTTTTTATCATATTTAAACAGGCTTACTATGCAAATCAATTTCGACAAGTTATTACGTGGGTTTTCATGTTCCTCGTTCCAAACATTTTTTTGTTAAATTTATAACCACTTTTCAATCCAAAATTTCTTTACTTACCATCATATTGGTTATTTTAATACAATAACATAATAGTAAAATTATTGTCCTGTCCAAAATATTATCTGATTCTTTTCGATATTCTTGATTGTTTCGCTAATTTAATTTTGCTTATTCTTTAGTTTACTTATCTTGGAGAATTTGCTCCTGCAGATACATACATATATATATATATATATATATATATATATATATATATATATATATATATATATATATATATATATATATATATATATATATATATATATATATATAATATATTACTGGATTAAACAGACTTTTAATTTCATCTAGGGGATTTTTAGCCATTGCCTTTTTTCGTTTATATATGCATTTGCTATTATTATTATTATTATTATTATTATTATTATTATTATTATTATTATTATTATTATTATTATTATTATTATTATTATTATTATTATTATTATTATTATTATTTTATGACAAGTTCCCAATACAACTGCTTCTGATGCTTTTAGAAAATATCAGATTTTATGCATGCACACCATGTTGGGGCATGCCAAGTTATGTCTGTTATTATGTCCCAGGCTATCTATTAACTTACACATTATTGTCATATAACATTTCAGACTGTAAAACAATTGATGTCAAAATTACCAGTCATACACCATGTCTTGGTTAAATCTACTGCATATAATAGCGGCGTACCAAGCTCAAAAATTGATGTCAAAGAAACTAGAAACTTAATTTCGAAATCTATTCATAAGATAAAGACAAGTTGATTTTGTGCTCTTCGCCAGTCCGTAATGGGTATATATCTCCCTCAGTCACACTCAAAATAGCTAAGCAAATATTTACAACATTTAATATATATTTTTAAAAGGCTCAAAGACCTGATTAAGTTCTCATGAATGTGACTTTAATTTTCCAATTTTTCACACAGTTTTTAAATTTCTGGTCATATACGTTCTTGACAAATTGCTTGTAAGCACATGCAAGGTAAACTTAATAACGGAAAGCAGTGCGCCTGAATAGAGCTTTATGCCAATATCAATATATAATTTTTTTTTTCAAATAGAGAACTTAATCTGTTTGGGATTTTGCAAATTCAGTAAAAATACGACTTTATATGCAAATAAAGTTGGAAATTTTATTTTAGTAATAGGTAAATGATGTGGATAGAGTTTCAGGCCAATTAAATACATATTTTAAAAAATTTGGAACGAAATAACTTTTATACAAAACCTTGTGCTCACCATTAAACAAAATAGACATGAGTATGTAGATGCAGTTTTGTCGTAACATTTTTAAACCAACAAATTTACACATTTCTTAACGTTTTTGGACATAAATGTTGATGACTAATGCAGGCATTTCATTGGCATGCTAATGACTTAATTAGATTTTAGTGCAATTATATACATATTTCTACGTTTGTAAGTCGTCCAAATGAGACATAGTTGGTCATCATTATTTACACAAAAAAGTTTATTTTGTTTGATGCAGTATTTTTGACCAATATTCCATCTTTAGGACAAATGTCAAACATGTTATTCTGTGGAAAGCTGACGCTTTCTGAGTAAATTGACTGAGTTGTTTGGTTCTAATGATATAAAGACAAAAATCCTGATTCACAAATCTGGGTCTCTATATCACACTCTTATATCACACTTCTATATCACATTCATATATCACATTCCTGTATCACACTCCTATATCACACCGCTATACCACATTTCTATATAACACTCCCATTTCACACTCCTATATCACACTTATATATCACACTCCTATATCACACTTATATATCACACTTCTATATCACATTCCTGTATCACATTCTTATATCACACTCCTATATCACATTTCTATATAACACTCCAATTTCACACTCCTATATCACACTTCTATATCACACTCCTATATCACACGCCTACTTCACACTCCTATATCACACTTCTATATCACATTCCTAACAAAATTCCTTTTATACAGCATGCTAGATATTTCGTTATCTTCTTCCAAGATCCAGAGTCATGATCTGATATTATTTGTCATAGAGTGGAGGAAGAGGAAAGACCCATGTCTTTGCATAAAAAATGGTTTGCGTTGTTCTTACTTGTGTGTATATCCAGTAAATTCTTAACAACATGAAGTACAGTGAAATATACCTATAAGAGACACCCATAGTCGGTCTGTATAGTTTTCTTAGATATCCAAATGCTTGGGAATGTCACTTGTGGCTATCAAATATGCGGGATTCATGGAGGATTTTCTTTTAGTGATTGGGTAGGGAATCTTTTAAGAGGATCTTAAAAACATGAAGTAGAAAAAGGTCAATGAATTAGAAATTAAATTGTGTGAACCAAATATTCGTAACAGTTGTACACTTGTAAAATACAATTGAAAAGGACATATATAAATATATGTGCATCTACAACTTTTCATCAACTTAGAAAATACCACTTATTGGCACTTTACCTCTTATAGCATTGTTTAATTTTGTTCAAAGAATACTTAGTCATATTTATTTAACTGAGCAGAACTTTGGTCATTGCTAACTGCTATAACTTAGGAAGGATTCTGAAATATTAGCCATTCAAATTTCCCTCACATTCGCTGAATTCGTCCAGAAAGTCTTTTCACTTATGAGGCCTCCCTTTAAAGCTAAGAACAAAGATCTATAGTGTATAGTTGATTTTGTTTCCTGCTTTATATCTCAAACGCCGAATCGAGATGAAAGATGGTGTTTTGTATTTACTGGCAACTAACGTATAACATTTAATATTTTGTTCTTAAGATTAGTATCGCTGGTTAATTTTTTATAGTTTCGAAACTTTTAATTTAAGGCCCTCTTTGAGACACCGTCATCAAATAAGGATGCTTTCCATGTCAACACATACTTCCTTGTCACAAGAGTCACATTCAGAGTTCATCAATGTATACTTTATTGATACCACCGTGGTCGGCAGGGAAGAAACATTCATTGAATTTCCTTATTCTATCAAGAACTGTAATTATGTTCTTTTTTAATGTGAACATCATCTAAAGCTTAAAACTTAAAAAAAACAAATAATTTTAAAACGTTGTAACCGTCATTGCTTTACGCTCTCAGTAGACCGAAATTATTTTAAAATCTCGCAAGGAATATACTGAGGTTTCTGTTTCGTCGTGTTCTGTTTTTAATATAACAGAAGAGAATCTACTGATACATTTAAAGCAATATATATTCATGTCGTCAGTCGTCAATGAGTTTGAAAATTGCGTTAAACAGAACGTTTAAATTCTTCTCCACGTTT